ATTTCAGATTGAAGAAGTTGGTAGAATTCTTCTATTTCATCCTCACTGGCTTTAGTGGTTGGTGCGTAAATTTGAATAATAGTGGTATTAACTGGGCTTCCCTCTAGGCGCATGGATATTATCCTATCACAGACAGCGTTGTACCTCATGACTGATCTGGATATGTTCTTGTTGAGAATGAGTGCAACACCATTCCTCTTCAATTTGTCATTTCTGGCATAGTAAACCATGTGGTCATCAGATTCAAAATGGCTAATACCAGTCCATTTCTGCTCACTAATGCCTAAGACATCAATGTTTATGCGTTCCATTTCATTTTCGACAACTTCCAATTTTTCCAGATTCATACTTCGTACATTCCATGTTCTGATTTTCAATGGGTGTTTCCAGCTGTTTCTCTTCGTTTTTAGTTGTGTCCCATCAGCAAATGAATGTCCTGTGGGCTTTTCTTCCATGGGCATTACTGCATTCGCGTCATCATGGTCAACTCTACTTTGAGGAGGCAGCTCTTCCCCAGTTGTATTTTGAGTGCCTTCCAACCTGAGGGGCTCATTTTCTGGCACTATATCTGACAGTGTTTCTCTGTTATTCGTAAGGTTTTCAGTGACTAAATATTCGGAAGTAGTTTGTGTCTCCTTCTTCCTAGTCTGTCTTCGTTGGAAGCTCATCTGAAACCTGTCCACCATGAGTGACCCTGCTGGTGTTTAAAATACCGGTGTCATAACTTTCAGAATCACAGCAACTCACAAGCCGCCACAGTACAACAAACTGACAGGCGAGTGGTGGTGCAACTATCTAGTTCCAGAATATTCTTAGCACCCTATAAGGAGACTCTGTACTCATGAAATAATCACTCTCCATTTCAGGGTCTCCCAGGTAACCATTAATCTTCTTCCCACTGTATCAGAGTAAAACTGTGCTCTGTGGGGTTTTCAGTGGTGATTTTTCAGAAGTAGATCTCCAGGCATTTCTTCTGAGGTGCCTCAGGGTAGTGATCCAACCTTTTAACCCTTTGTACCACCCAGGGACTTGAATTTTTTTTTGACTCTATGTATTTCATGTAAATGGTATCAGACAATATTTATCCTTTTTTTTTTCTTCTTAAATGTTTTATTGTGAATTATGTGATAGTTTACATGGGAGAACATTCATTTTACATTCATTCTATCGTATATTGTCTCATTGCCATGGTTACAATCCCCTCCATGCATCATCAACCAACCAAAAGGTATACCCTGCAATCCTTCCCCCGTACCCCCCAGGTCTTCAGCACACAGTCGCTCTCCCTCTCTGGATCTATAGTCTCCAGCTGCTCCATCGTTCCACATCATCATTTCTGCCTCCATTTCAGGCATCACTGCTTCTCTGGGTAGGGTCCTGCTCTCTGCTCTTCTCCCTTGATGGTCCTAGGGACCTCTGCTCCTAGACTGAAAAGTTAATCACTCCCCTCCTTGCTATAAAACATCTACTTTTACATTTCCAACCCTCACAATCAGTCCTGATAGCAATGATTCACTATTGTATCACAAGAGACCCATCTGCATTTCATTGCATCAGCCCCACCTAGGCAGATTGAATACTACTCACTGGAGATTCTACCTTCCTCCATGCCCTCTGGATCTAGGTTCCCTCTTGAAAGCTTGTAAGCCAGTCACTTCTTGCCTTTGTAGCCCCCCCTCCCCTGCCTCCCACAATAGCTATCCTTTTATGACTGACCTCTGTCACTCAGCATAATGTTTTCAAGGTTCATCCATGTTGTATCATGTATCAGAACTTCACTCCTTTTTATAGCTGAGCTCTGGTAGCGTAATGGTTACAAGTTGGACTGCTAACCTCAAAATCAGCAGTTCAACACTACCAGCCATTCCATGGGAGAAAGATGAGGCTTTCTGCTCCTGTAAAGATTTACAGCCTTGGAAACCCTAGGCAGGGTTGTGTGGAGTCAGAACCGACTCCACTGCATACTACCACCACCAATATTTCATCAAGAGTCTTGGTGTGTGCTGTAGGATAAAGCACTGGACTGCTCACTGCAAGGTTGGTGATTCAAACCCATCAGCTGCTCCTCGAAAATCCTATACAGGGCCACTATGAGTCAAAACCAACTCCAAGGCACTTAACAATGATATTTCATTGAGCCATGGTGTGGCACTGTGGGAAAAGCACCAGACTACTGATAGTTCAAGACCGCCAGTTGCTCTTGGAAACCCTATGTTATTGTTGAGTGCCATTGAGTCAGTTCTGACTCATAGCAACCTTATATAGTGTGTCCAAGGAGCTCTGGTAGCGTAGTGGTTACGAATCAGGCTGCGAACCTTAAGGTCAGCGGTTCAAAACTACCAGCCACTCCGCGGGAGAAAGACAAGGCTTTCTACTCCCATAAAGATTTACACCCTCGGAAACCCTGTACAGGGTCGCTATGGGTCGGAATCGACTCGACGGCACTTAACAACAACAACAACAACAAAGGAGCAGCTGGTGGGTTTGAACCACTGCCATTGCGGTCCAGTACATTATCCTGCAGCACCACACCAGGAAACCCTAGACAGGGTCATAATGAGTAGGAACCAACTCGACAGCACACAACAGCAACACTATTCCATCATCTAGATGGACCACATTCTGTTGATGAATTCATATGCTGATGGGCACTGGGCTGTTTCCAACTTTGGGCTATTGTGAATACCCCTGCAGTGAACCTCGGTGTAATTGTATCTGCTTGAGTTCCTGCCTTCAAGTCTCGTGGGTACATGCTAAGAGTGCAATTGGGTACTTATGTCTGGCGCTGCAGGGTAATACAGTGCACTACAAGGCCAGTTTGAACCTCAAGGTTGGCAGTTCAAACCCATCAGCTGCTCCTTGAAAACCCTATACAGGGTCTCTATGTGTCAGAACCGACTCGACGACATTTAGCAACAACAACAATAGTTCTATGTTGCACTTTTTGAGGAACCACCTGACTTTTCCACAGTGGCTGGTCCTTTTCACTTGTCCACAGCGATGCAGGAGTTCCAGTTTCTCCACATCCTTGCCAACAGCTGTTTCCATTTTTCGAATCATAGCCCTCCTAGTGGGTGTGAAGTGGTGTCTCCTTGTGGTTTTGATTTGCATCTCCATGTGGCGCTGTGAGTTAATGTGCTGGACCGCAAGTTAGTTTGACCCAAAGGTCGGCAGTTCAAGCTCACTGCTGCTCCTCAGAAACCCTATACAGGGTTGCTATGGGTCGGAACCAACTCCATGGCACTTAACAATTACTAATTAAGGAGGGCTAGTGGTACAGTGAATTAAGCATCAGGCTGCTATAAGGTCAGCAATTTGAACCCACCAGCCCCTCCTCAGGAAAACGATGAGTCTGTTTGTGTGAAGATGACAACCTCAGAGACCCTGTGGAGCAGTAACTCTGTCAGAATGACTCGATGGCAGTAGGTGTGCTGTGCTTGTTAATTACTAGTGAGGAGCCTTAGTGGTACAGTGGTTAAGCGATCAGCTGCTAACCAAAGGTTGATAGTTCGAATCTACCAGCTGTTCCAAAGAGGAAAGATACGCCTTGTGCTTCCTAGCGATTTACAGCCTTGAAAACTCCTTGGGACAGTTCTCCTCTGTCCTACAAGGTTACTATGAACTGGAATCAACCCGAGGCCAGGAGCTAATTATTAATATTGCTGTTAAGAGCCGTCGAGTCAGTTCCGACTCATAGTGACCCTGTGTAGGGTTTCTGAGGCTGTACATCTGTGCCAGAACAGAAAACCTCATCGGTTGCAGAGCTACTGGTGGGCTTGAACTGCCGACCTTGTGGTTCGCAGTCCAGTGATTATCTTACAGAGCCCCCATGCTTCCCTAATTACTAAAGGAGTAGGGAAAGTAGTAGACATGCTTGGCTGCTAAATGAAAAGTTGGTGGTTCAAATCCACCCATAGGTACCTGGGCATAAAGGCCTGTTCATTTACTATTGAAAAATCAGTCATTGAAAACTCTATAGGCACACTAGGGTCACAGTGCTTCAGAGTCAATTTGCCAGCAACTGCTGTTTTTTTTTAACAACTGAAGGAGCTCTGGTAGCGTAGTGGTTACGAATCGGGCTGCGAACCTTAAGGTCAGCGGTTCGAAACTATCAGGTGCTCCGCGGGAGAAAGATGAGGATTTCTACTCCCGTAAAGATTTATACCCTCGGAAACCCTATACAGGGTCGCTATGGGTCGGAACCGACTCGATGGCACATAACAACAACAACAAAGGCATTGAGTGGGGTCCTGGTGTGGCGCTGTAGGATAAGGTGGACTGCTGACTACAAGGTTGGCGGTTCAAACCCACCAGCCACTCTTTGGAAACCCTAAGCAGAGTCAGAACCGACTCAACAGCACTTAACAACAACAAGGGCATTGAGCACCTCTCCATGTTCCCCTCCCTCTCCCTTTTACAGTCATTGAGTGGGAGATGGAGCAAGGCCTGCTGAGTTCGGAGAACGGGGACCAGGGTGCCACCATCTTCCTGCGTGAGATCCAGGACCTCAACAAACACATCCTGGACGATTGTGCCCTGCGGCTAGTGGACCGGCTTCCGGACGGCTGCCTGGACACAGACGCCCAGAACCTTCTCAGCAGCCTCAAGGGCCGCATTGCTGAAGAGCACCCCAGCGCCCTCAAGACCCACCACCTGCAGTGGAGCCGTGACCTGGTGAACCCCAAGAACAAGGCTCACGCCAGGTACCTGAAGGAGTTGGGGGAACAGTTTGTGGCCAGGGCCAACCACCAGATCCTGGAGCGTCTCCGAGAGCTGGAGACAGTTACACAGGACCTGGCCTGGCTGTACCAGGACATCCGCCACCACCTGAGCCAGAGCGCGGAGGCCACGCGCATCTTCTGTGGCCGCAAGGAGCTCCTGGCCCAGCTCGGGCAGCAGCTTCGGCAGAGCCACAGCACTGCTCACAGTCCCCTGGTGCTCTACGGACCCCCGGGCATCGGGAAGACAGCGCTGATGTGCAGACTGGCCGAGCAAGTGCCTGGGCTTCTGGGCCACAAGACAGTAACTGTCCTGCGCCTTCTGGGGACCTCACAGGTGAGCTCCGACGCCCGCGGTCTGCTCCGGAGTGTCTGCTTTCAGGTGTGCCTGGCCTTTGGGCTGCCCCTGCCACCTGCCCAGGTCCTGGAGGCCCAGACCAGAGTGGTCCAGTTCTTCCACAGCCTCCTGCATACTGTGTCCCGCAGAAATTTTGAGGCTCTCGTCATCCTCCTGGACTCCCTAGATGACCTGGACACTGTTCACCCTGCCCGCAGAGTCCCCTGGCTGCCCCTGCAGTGCCCCCCCAGGGTCCACCTCATCCTCTCAGCATGCTCCGGGCAGCAGCAGGGGGTGCTGGACACAGTGCGGCAGGTGCTCCCGGACCCTGGGGTCTACTGGGAGGTGAAGCCCCTCTCTGCCAACCAAGGGCAGGAGATGATTGAGCTTCTGCTGGCGGCTGCACGGAGAACACTGAGCCAGGCCCAGCGGGACCTGCTGTGGGCCAGTCTCCCTGAGTGTGGACACCCAGGCCGGCTGAGGCTTGCCTTCGAGGAGGCCAGGAAGTGGGCCTCCTTCTCCGTGCCCACCCCTCTGGTCTCCACTGCCCAGGAGGCCACACACCAGCTATGTGCCCGTCTGGAGCAGACTCACGGCCAGCTCCTGGTGGCCCACGTGCTGGGCTACATTGTGGCTTCCCGGTGAGTTTCTGATTTTTCTTTAAAAAAATCATAATCGAGATCTAATTCACATATGCGTTTCCCATGGTTACCATGATGAAACTCTGTAATCTGGAGATTTAAATGGAGTCCCCCCCCGGTGATGCAACCAGTTAAGCACTCTGCTACTAACCAAAAGGTTGGAGGTTCAAGTCCACCCAGAAGCACTTCAGAAGAAAGACCTGGCAATCCACTTCCAAAAAAGCAGCCACTGAAAGCCCCGTGGAGCACAGCTCTACTCTGACACACATGAAGTTGCCATGAGTCAGAGTTGATTCGACTCCAATTAGTTTGGGGTCACTTAAAGTGACAGAAATTTAGTTTCTCACAATTCTACAGGGTAGAAGTTCACAATCAAGATAGAACCAGGCTTTCTCTTGGGGTTCTGAGAAGAACCTTTCCTGGCCTCTTTCAGCTTCGGGTAGGCCCAGCAATCCTTGGCGTTTCTTGGTTTGCAGACTCATCGCTGAAATCTCTGTCTCTATTACACATGGCTGTCTTCGTCCTGTGCCTCCGTGTCTGTCCTTTTCCTCTTATAAGGACACAAGTCACAGGATTTGGGGCTCCCTCAAGGTCTGCAGCTTGAAACTACCAGTTGTTCCGCAGGAGAAAGATGAGGCTTTCTGCTCCCATAAAGATTTATAGCCTCGGAAACCATATACAGGGTCGCTATGGGTCGGAATTGACTCAAAGGCACTTAACAACAACAACAAAGTAACTGAAAGGGAGGCCTGTTGTGGCGGTGTGGGTTAATGGTCAGACTGCAAAGTCATTTGAACTGTAAATCAGTGGTTCAAGCTCACCAGCTGCTCCTTGGAAACTCTATACAGGGTCACTATGGGGTGGAATTGACTCGACAGCACTTAACAACAACAACAACAACAACGAAGTAACTGAAAGGGTAACAGTTCAAGTACACCCAGAGGTTCCTTGAAAGAAAGACCTGGCAATCGATGGCTCACATCTCTGTTTTGTACACAGGGGATCGCCATAGTGGGAATTGACTTGGCCACTGGTTCATTATAAACAGTGTGTACAGAGATCTCAGAACACCCTTTTAAAGCAAACTTCTCTGTAGACATGAAGTTATAAACTTCAGGCTCGTGTTATGGGAACCAGCAAACACAAACACACCCATCTGTCAGTGGAGGCTTGCATTTTGCTGTGATACTGAGCAGGTCTCAGCCAAGCTTCCAAACTAAGATGGACTCAGAAGAAAATCTTGGCCATGGGCTTCCAACAATCAGCCAATGGATCACAACAGTCCTCCCCGCAACCGATCATGGGAATGGCAGAGCAGTGCCATGAGTTAGGGCTGACTCACTCAATGACAGCTAATGATGGCAACAACACAGATTCAAAGAATTGTTGTTGTTGTTAGGTGCCATTGAGTCAGTACTGACCCATAGCAACCTTATGCATGGCAGAACAAAACACTGCCTGATCCTGGGCCAACCTCACTATTGTTGCCACACTTGAGTCCATCGATGCTGCCACTTGGCCAATCCATCTCTCTGGAGGTCTTCCTCTTTTTCTCTGACCCGCCAGCTTCCCAAACATGATATCCTTCTCCAGTGACTGGTCCTTCCTGACACGTTCAAATACCAGTGCTTAGTTGACAAACTTCACCAGGCTGTAAAATGCAATAGACCTCAGCCGTGACTGACGGGAGCTGGAAGATGCTGGTATGGAAGGTTAGTCAGAAATAATGAGCAGTTTCACAAAGTGCATTAATCAGACCTGGGAGCAGTCAAGCTCCATCCCCCAGGAGGGTCTGATGGAGGCCAATTAGTACAGGCACCCAGCAAAATAGTTCTGCCTTTATTAGTACAGGCTGTATGAGAACACTCTGGCAGATCATTAGATATGCTGGACCAATGTCATTTCTCCTCTTCTCGGTTTGGGGCCAGAATTTTCTTCCCCAGCCTGTGTCATTTCTGCCCTTTGTCCATTGTAAAATATTCAAGATGGCGGTGACCAGTGAGCCCACTCATGCTCCTTTAAGAAGTGTTGCTGTTGTTAGCTTCTGTCAGGTTCCTTCCTGTCAAAACCCAGCTCAAATAGCACCGGTCACAGAGAAGTCAGTCTGTTCTAAGAACAACCCCTCTCCTGGTTTCTTCACCTCATCACTCTCTTCATACCACCTGTTTTATTTTCTTCCTGGCACTTGGCGCAACCAGACCTTCTTGTGTATTGTTCCTGGTATGTCCCAGATGACTTCTCACACTAGAAGACAGGTGTCTTTCTATCCCTAAGAATCAGTATGATGTCTAACACAGATATGACACTCTACAAACACTTGTTTAGCAAATATGCTAACACTTTATTGAAAATGAGTTGGGTTTCATGAAGTGCGAATCATAAACAGCCTCACTCTCTCCCCTGCTTTGAAATGACTTCCATGTACTTGTTCTCCATTCCTCATAAACCCTCAGGCAAATTCTATATTTTCCTGTCTAATATGCACTCTAGTCCCACATCCAAGCTTCAATTGCTCATTGTTATGAATTGAATTGTGCCCTCCCCAACCCCCTACCTAAAGTATGCATTTGAGTCCCAACCCCTCAGTGGATACAATCCTGTTTGGGAATAGTTTTCTTTGCTATGTTAATTAAGTCCTACCTGGTGTGGTGCTGTGTGTTAATGCACCAAACTGTAAAGCCATTTGAACTGCAAGATCGGTCGGCAGTTCAAGCTCACCAGCTACTCCTTGGAAACCCTATGGGTTGGCATTGACTTGTTATGCCCAGAATTCGGGGTCCCCAAATACCACCAAGGAGCTGACATCAATGCACATGCACAAGGGTTGTTTATTCAAGCTCGAGCCCGGACTCCACCTCATCCCACGCAGCGGAATAGGGATAGAGCCCTGAACTCTTTGTCTGCAGGGTTTTTATAGAGTTTTCAAACAGCTCAGGTTTCTCAGCTTTACAATCTTTGGATTGGTTAACAATTGGCAAACTATGAGATGTTACAGTTTAATTGGTCAGGACTGGTGGTCTTTGTTCTTAGGCTAGGGCAAAGGAAAACATCTGGCCTCCGGCCTTGAGCTGCCTGGCTATTTACACATATATCATTTTCTTGGAGCTAGAGGACGTGCTAAAGCTTGTATATGAAATGGATTCTTCTCTTTGGCCCTACAGACTCAATGGCACTTAACAACAACAACTACTACACTAGTTGTTCTGACCCATAGTGGTGATCCTGTATAGTGTTTCATAGGAGCAGCTGGTGAGCTTGAACTGTGGAGTTCAAACCAACTTTGCAGTCCAGAACATTAACCCACAGCATCACATCAGTTGCTGTTGTTGTTAAGTGCCGTCGAGTCAATTCCTACCCATAGCGACACTGTATAGGGTTCCCAAGGAGTAGCTGGTGAGCTTGAACCGCCGACCTTGCGATCCAAATGATTTTGCAGTCTGGAGCATTAACCAACCCACAGCGCCACACCAGGATTCATTTCTGAGTTACAAAAAGAGCGGATTAGACACAGAGACATGCACACATGTGGGGAGGAAGACAGACACCATGTGAGGATCATTTTCACTCCAGGGAACTCAGAGACGACAAACAAAGAACGAATCCACAAGACCGAGACCCTGAGACTTTGAGTCTCCAGAACTGGGAGACAATAAATGTTGGTGTTTAACCCACTCACGGTGGAATCTCTAGTACCACAGCTCTAGAGACCAAAGACACCAATTCTGCTCCCTTTCTCACCCTCAGGCTAGGAAACACCTGGGGGCAGGGTGGGGATGGTGGGGGGCTTCTGCCTTATTTTTTGTCACATTTGCCCTCCTTATGTAGCCCCAGACTCCTCTGAAGCTCGGAGGGAAGGAGGTGTGTGTGTGCAGAAGAAAAGATCTGGGAAGGTTTTTAATGACTATTTTCACTGCTGGTTAATGCGATGGACTGCAATGTCAGACAGGATCTGTTATGAGTTGGAACTGACTTGACAGCACTTAACAATATGTTGTTGTTGTTGTTAAGTACTGTGGAGTCAGTTCTGACTCTTAGTGACCCTGCACAGGGTTTCCGAGGCTGTAAATCTTTACGGGAGCAGAACGCCCCATCTTTCTTCCACGGAACAACATAGCTGTAAGCAGATATTGGTGTTTGCTAGACCAGGGCGCTGTCCAAATGCTAATTCCCAGGAGAGCCGAATGTTGAGACTGGCTGCATCTCTCCCTCCATTGGCTTGTTGACGGACACTTGGAATGTTTCTACCTTTAGTCTGTTGTGAATAATATTGCTATGAACATTGGTTTGCAGGTTTCTATCTGAGTCTCTGCTTTCAGTTCTTTGGGTATATTCCCAGGAACAGAATTGCTGGGCCATATGGTAATTCTTGAATTCCTGGTGTGATACTGTAGGATCAGCACTGAACTGCAAACCACAAGGTCAACAGTTCAAACTCACCAGCTGCTCCTCAGAAACCCTGTAGAGGGTCGCTATGAGTCAGAACTGACTCGATGGCACTTAACAACAACAACAGCAGTGGTAATTCTTGGAGTCCCTGGGTGGTGCAAACAGTTAAGTGCTTGACTGCTAGTCAAAAGATTAGTGGCCAAAATCTACCCAGCATTGCCTCAGAAGACAGAGCTGGTAATCTGCTTCCAAAAAAAATCTGCCACTGAAAATCTATGGGACAGTTCTACTCAGACATACATAAGGACACACAAAATTGGCTCAAAGGCAACAGCAACAGGGTAGTTACATGCTAACTTACTGAGGAGCCCAAATGCTCTTTTTTTCTTGGTTGTACTTTTTATGGAAATGAATTGCCAGACCTTTCTTCCACAGCAGTGCGGGTGCGTTTGAACTACCAACCTTATAGTTAGTAACTAAGAGCCAGCCATTTCTACCAAACAAAGATTTTCTTTGAAAAGTACTGCAAATTTACTTACAGATGCAGATGGCTAGCCATGTCTCTCCCTCCCTCGGCCTCTGCATTCTTCATGCACAAAGGACACATGACAGTGTATAAACATGCTGCCCACCTCCCACAGGTATGGGATCTCAGAGGCAGAGCTGAAGGATGTCCTGTCCTTGGATGATGAGGTCCTGCAGGCTGTGTACCGGGACTGGACACCACCCAGCAAGGAGCTGCTCCGCTTCCCACCCCTGCTGTGGGTGAGGCTCCGGCGAGATCTGGGTACCTGCTTGTCCCGGCGGCCCATGGACGGCTCCACACTCCTGGCCCTCACCTACAGGTAGGCTCAGCTCTGTGTGACACTAATCTGGGGAGCTCGGGAGTGAGGACCCACTGACCAAAGTCTTCCCTGTTCCAGACCCCTGGAGCTCCTTTCTCCCAGGGAATCCAGTCCATAGGACTTAACATGGCATTCCAAGATCTCCACATCACCAACTCTAACACAAGATGAAACTCAACATGTAATTAACCATTTAAAGTGGTATTTAGTCCATTCACAAGTTTCTACAATAACCACCTGTATCTTGTGGCACTGTAGGATAAGCACTGTACCACAAGATTGGTTTGACCGGCAAGCTTGGCATTGCAAACTCACCAGCCACAATTATGGGTGGTAGCTGTATAATATGATTTATGTAATTGACGAACTTTGATGTCAGGTGTACACTTGAAAAAATGTTGCACTGGCAAATGTAGTGCTTTATGTATTTTTACAGCGATTCATAAACAAAACAAATAGTATAGATGCTACCAGTCTCCCAAAGGTGCCTTAGAGTGCATGGGTGTTCGGAAAGCTCTTCAAGGCAGGCTGGTGGCCTCCTCTGAACTTACCAGGTTCTTCCAGGTCCATCTGTCTGTGTCCTCCCTCCACAGACAGCTGGCTGAGGTGGTCCGTGAGCGCTACCTGTCTGGGCCCGAGAGAGTCAAGCTGCACAGCATCCTGGCTGACTTCTTCTCAGGGGCCTGGAGCCAGGGCACCAAGAAGCTCATCACCCTGCCTCTCCTGGGGAAGCCGCTGAACCTGGACCGCAAGGTGAGGGACTGGGGCTAGGACTCCCTCTAACAGCCCAGGCCTCACCCACGTGCTGTAGCTCTCTGGTTGGGAAAAGCCAAGGTCATAAGTGTGGCCAGCCTCCTCCGTCTTCCCTTCTGTGAGGGAAAGCTGTCCCCTCAGCCCATCCATGACCCTCCTCAGCCCCTTAGTACAATTTGGAGGATGGTGAGCAGCAGGTAAGGAGGATCCAACTCCTCCCCAACATTCCAAAGTAAGGATAAATCACGATTGGAAACATTAAAAACAGTTGTTGTTGAGTTGACTCCAACTCATCACAACCTTGTATGTGTCCGCGTAGAGCTGTGCTCCATAAAGTTGTCAGTGGCTGATGCTTTGGAAGTAGATTGCCAGATCTTTCTTCTAAGGAACTTCAGGGTGGACTCGAACCACCAACTTTTAATAAGTGGCTTAGTACATTAGCCATTTGCACTTCTCAGGAACTTCAGGACATATTATGTTCCCAAACCCTTGGCATGTTTGAGTTTTCATTAACTAGATTCTGATTCCTCATGAGGTCAGATAGTCACCCCACTACTGTTTGTCCATTGGGCATCTTCCTCTGAATTCAGTGGTACAATCTGATTTCCAGCCTCGAATTCTCCCAAGTGCATCACATACTTAAAAAACAATGGTTCTAGTTACAAGAGTAAAACACAGAAACCAAACCCTTTGCCATTTCTGACTCTTGGTGATCCTGTGTGTGCAGAATTGAACTGCTCCACAGGGTTTTCAGAGGCAGATCTCCAGGACTTTCTTCCAAGGTGACTCTGGGTGGTTTTGAATGGTTAAACATTTACACTTCGCAGGGACTCCTCATATACAACTACTGCAAAAGGTACAGAGAAATCAAAGAATAAAATAAAAACCATCCTCAACTCCCCATTCAGGAGAACCTCTCTCTGCCCCTTGGTGGGCCATGACTCTCTACCCTTCTCCTCACCTCCCACCTCCTCCCATTCCACACACTTTCTTGTAGTCTTTTTCTTGTGCACCTAGGACCCATAGGCTTGGATGGCCATCTTCTTTTTCCTTCTCAAATACTCAAGGCTCAAGTTCAAATACCTCTTCCTTCAGGAAGACCTCCGGGATTTCCTCCCTTCTGAATCCGATGTTCTTTTCTCTGTGCTGCCTTCACTCTGAGGTGGACCTTACACAATTAAAAAAAAACACTTTTCTATTTACATCAATATTTATTTTATTAATCACACAAATGACCTTTATTTCTGATCTACTGACACATTTACATTTTTTATTTTATTTCATTTTATTTATTTTGTGATGAGACTAAAAACAGCAAAAGATATGCCAACACAACAATTTCTGTATGTAGAGTTCAGTGACAGTGACCACAGTCTTCAAACTGTGCAACTATCACTTCGCCACCAGTAACAGACACTCACTGCCCATGAGACTTCTCATCCAGCTTTTCTGCATTCAGTTTAATCTCACACCTGTATAACGAGTTCTTTAAAAAGGCATGATGCTCAAGACAGATACTAACTGTTGTAGCTATGTGCCCTTGAGTTGGTTCCAACTCACAGTGACATTGTAGAGGATTTCTGAGGCTATAAATCTTCATAAGGAGCTCTGGTAGCGTAGTGGTTACGAGTCAGACTGCCAACCTCAAGGTCAGCAGTTTGAAACTACCAGCGGTTCCGAAGGAGAAAGATGAGGTGTTCTGCTCCCGGAAAGATTTACAGCCTCGGAAACCCTATGCAGGGTCACTATGAGTCGGAACCAACTCCACGGTACCTACCAACAATAAATCTTCATGGGAGCTGAAAGCCTCATCTTTCTCCCACGGAGCAGGTGGTGGATTTGAACTGCTGAGCTTGCAGTTAGTAGTTCAATGCATAACCCACTATGCCACCAGACCTCAAGCTTCTCATCCAACATCTCAAGTTGCTGTCTTGAGATCAGTTTGATCTCATGCTCCTTTAAGTTGTTCTGTGCAAGAGCACTATGCTCAAGGCAGACATTCTTTACTAAATAAGCTAAACTGTTGTTTGGTCTAAAGATGACTTCAAGGGAGAGTTTCAGTTTCAGGTTTATAGATTCCCAAGTCTTTCTTTTAATAAATGATTTTGCCATTCTTTTTTCCCCCACTAGACTGAGAGACCGAGAGGCAAGGCCAGGCCTGACTCTTTATGGGGGCTGCGCTTCCTCATCTTCAATAACTCACAAACTGTCCAGTGCCCCCCTCCCATGTGTCCAGAGGCTATATAGCCTCAGCTTCATCCTCTCCTTCTGGGATGCAGTCTGACTCTTTTCCTGATATCCCAGCCTCAAGACCACCTTCCTATTCTAGGTCATCCTCCTAAGGGATGCTTTTGACATGCAAACCTCATCATGCCTCTACTTCTCTAACACCTCTCATAGCTCCCCAGTACCCTCCATATCAAGTCTAACAACTCTGATATTCAGTAACTTCCTTAGTCTCGTTCCCCACTATGATCCCCACCCTGCCTCATAATTCAACCTTCCCAAAATGGAAGTTCTGCTATCCTGCTCTTCCAGGCCCTGGCCTATGCTGTTTCTTTTCATTGGATTTCCAACATCTACCACCAAACAGACTCTTTTACTTATGATCTGAGGTCCAGCTCTAATGCTTTTGTTTCAGGAAGGCTTTTCTATTCCTGCCCTCAAACTAGTTCCCCTTGCTCCAAGCCCCACCCTCTGCCCCAGCCATTGAGGGATGGTGGGGGTGTTTCTTTCAAGCACTTGGCTACTACCCAAAGGGTTATCAGTTTGAACCCACTGGCCACACTGCAAGAGAAAGATGCGGCAGTCTGCTTCTGTTAAGATTTACAGCCTTGGCGTCCCTGTGGGGGAGTTCTGCTCTGTCCTTAGGGTTACTATAAATTGGAATCAACTCCACAGCAATGGGTTTGCTAGGTTGGGTTTGGGGGTGTCTCTGGCATCGTGCCCCCATCCCTTAGTGCCTGGCCTGGTCCGTGTTTGCAGGGTGAATGCAGGAGCATGTATCCTAGCACCTGGCAGCCAGCCAGCTTCCCTTCTCCTCCCACCCCATCCAGGTAGCCCCTCAACCCCTCTGGTTCTCAGACACGGTCGCAAACCTGCGGAAGTTAAAGGAACTGCCCTTCCACTTGCTCCGTGCGGGCCGCATTGAGGAGCTGAAGCAGGACGTGCTGGGTAAGACCCTCCCAGACCTGCCACCTTGCTCTGCCCAAGGAGTCTGGGGGCCAAGAGTGGACAGGGAACTCCCGGTTTCTCTGAAGGCAGCAGTTCTTACTGGGACAGTGCTGGCCCTCAGTGGGCATTAATGATGTCCCACTGAGGACATTTGTGTTTGTCACAACTAGGGGAGAGGGTACTGCTGGTATCCTGTGGGCAGAGACTAGAGATGCTGCTCAGCATCCTACAATGCACAGGATGACCTCCACCCCAGAGAATGTTCCAGAACGAAATGTTGGCAGTGCTGAGGTGGAGAAACCTTGTCTTAGCATAAGAGGCCCTGTCTACCAACCATCTATTCCTATCTATCTATCTATCCATCATCTATTACCTATCTATGTCTGTCATCTCTCTACCTATTTATCTATCATATGGACTACTGGTGTGGCACTGTAGGATTAGCATTGGACTGCAAACCATTAAGTCAGCGGTTCAAACTCACCAGCTGGTCCTTGGAAACCCTGTACAGGGTTGCTACGAGATGGAACCGACTAGATAGTACTTAGCAACAACATCTATCTCTCTGTGTATCATCTACACCAGTCATCTACCTATCTAACTGTCAGATGCCTGTCTGTCATCTATATAGTCATCTATCTATCTGTCTACCTGTCAACCATCTATCTTACATGGACCTATCATCTGTGTATCTATGTAGATCAGCAGTTTCCAACCAGGGGCAATTTGTCCCAGCTTCATCCTCTCCTTCTGGGATGTGGTCTGACTCTTTTCCTGATATCCCAGCCTCAAGACCACCTTCCTATTCTAGGTCATCCTCCTAAAGGATGCTTTTGACATGTACTTGCTGATGTCTGGAAACATCCTAGTTTATCACCGTACAAATGGAGGAGAGGGGACTGCTGGTATCAAGTGGCTGAAGATTAGAGGTGCTACTCAGCCCCCTACAGTGCACCAATGGCCCACCCCAGAGATTGGCCCAGCCCTATATGTCTGCCACACTGAGGCTGAGAGACCCCTGGGAGAAATGGGAGGTGACCCCTACCCCCAGTTTGCAGGAAACGTAAGCCCAGCATGACGGGGTTGGCAGGTGTGCCCCGAACTCCTATCCTCTGCTCCACAGGCAGCATGAGCTGGATCTCTTGCCGGGCCATGTCCGGGGGCCTCGAGGCCCTCCTGGATGACTTTGACATGTGTGCCCCACACGTGGACTCCCCCGAGGTCGGCTTGGTCCGCGAGGCCCTACAGCTCTCCTGCCCCGCTGTGGAGCTCCGAGGCCTGGGTGAGTGTTGCTGCTTGAGCCACGAGAATGACTCCGTGGAGCTTCTAGAAGCCTACTCTGCTTACTGAGTGAGGCTGAGTTTCCACTAATCCACGCCCTTTCCTGTCTAAAGCTATGGGGCTTCTCCTGGCCTTACACTGAATCAAGTTTTGGGAAGAAAACTTCAAAGCAGGGCCTGTTCCTAGCCCTGGGTTCAGCCTTCTTTTCATGTAAATGGCCAGGCAGGAAATGTTTCAAGCAAAATCAATATCACGTAGGTTCGCATATAAAAAGAGTGATTAAGTGAAGGGCAATGATTTGAACTCACTAGTCACTCTGCAGAAGACGTGGTATCTGCTTCCATGAACATTTACATCCTTGGGAAGTCTGCTTTGTTCTTCAGGACCTTTAAGAGTCAGATTCGACTCAGTGGCAATGGCTATGGGTTTGGAATCCCTGGCTGGTGGAAATGGTGAGTGTCTTTAGCTGCCACTGAAAGGTTAGAGATTCAAGTCTATCTAGCAGCACCTTGGAAGAAGCCCTGATGAGCTACTTAGGCACTGAAAACCCTGTAGAGCGCAGTTCTACTCTGAGACACATGGGCGGTCATGAGTCAGAATCAGTGCAATGACTGATAGGGTTTTTTTTAATGGTATGTACTTAAAAGACCAATTTTTATGGATGAAATTAAAAATGTAGTCTTGATGTAGCACTGTAGGATAAGCAGAGGACTACTAACCACAAGGTCGGCAGATCAAACCCACCAGCCACTCCTTGAAAACCCTGTACAGGGTCACTATGAGTTGGACTCAGCAGTACTTAACAACAAAAACGTCAAAATATACTGACAACTGAAGACAACCTTGTTATTATATATATATATATATATATACATATACATATATATATGTTGTTGTTGTTGAGTGCCGTCGAGTCGGTTCCGACCCATAGTGACCCTGTACAGGGTTTCCGAGGGTGTAAATCCTTATGGGAGTAGAAAGCCTCATCTTTCTCCCGCGGAGCGGCTGGTAGTTTCGAACCGCTGACCTTAAGGTTCGCAGCCTGATTCGTAACCACTATGCTACCAGAGCTCCTTATATATATGTATACATATATTGTTGTTGTTATGTGCTGTGGAGTTGGTTTCGACTCATAGCAACTCTGTATAGGGTTTCCGAGGCTGTAAATCTTTACAGGAGCAGAAAGCCTCATACCGCGGAACAGCTGGTAGTTTCGAACTGCTGACCTCAGAGTTCGCAGCCTGATTCGTAACCATTACGCTCCTTCATAATATGTATATATTATAATATATAGAATATGTATCTGTTAATGATCAGAAGAGGCCGGTGGGGTTTTAGTGGTCAAACTCTCTGCCCACGCAGGACAGGACACCCAAGTTTCATTCACAGCTGATGCTCCTCATGTGCAGGCACCACTGATCTGTCTATGGAGGCTTCTGTGTTGCTGTGATACTGACGGGTTTCAGCTGAGCTTCCAGACTTAGAAAGACTAGGAAGAAAGGCCTGGTGAATTGCTTCTGAAACTCAGTCAATGAAACCCCATGGATCACAGTGATCATGGGGATAGCAAAGGGCAGGAAAACATTTCATTCTGTTGTATGTAAAGGCACCATGAGGTGGGGGCCAATTTGATACTAGTTAACAACCACAATCTTATTGACAACGTTCAAAATACAACAGTAATCATTGATAAGCTATATTGACCTATATAACATAAACTGTTGTTATTAGGTACCATCAAGTCAGTACTGAATCATTGAGACCCTGTGCACAACAGAACAAAACACTGTTCGGTCCTGTGCCTACCTCATAATTGCTGCTACGTTCGACCTAGTACATTCCATGCTCTGATTATTAATGGTTGTTTACAGCTGTTTCTCTTCATTTTGAGTTGTGCCCCGTCAGAAAATGAAGGTCCCAAGGGCTTTACTCCATTTGCATCATCACGGCCAACCCTACTTTGAGGAGGCAGCTCTTCCCCAGTTGCATTTTGAGTGCCTTCCAACCTGAGGGCTCATCATCCGGCACTATATACAATAGTCTGGTGCTCTTCATCATGTTTCAGTATTCAATAGTCTGGTGCTGACAGTGTTCCACTGTTATTCATAAGGTTTTCAGTGACTAAATATTCGGAAGTAGTCCGTCTCTCCTTCTTCCTAGTCTGGCTGAAACCTGTCAGTTGAAACCTGTGCACCTTGGATGACCCTGTTGGTATTTAAAATACCCGTGGCATAGCTTCCAGAATCACAGCAACTCACAAGCCACCACAGTACGACAAACTGACAGCCGAGTGGTGGGTATAACATAAATAGAAACATATTAATAATAAAACAATAACCATTCCGACAAACAGACAGAAATTCTTTTTCTTAATTGGTGTATCTGTCGTCTAATCAATTGCACATGTTCATTCGTAGTTCTTAGAGGGAAAATATGGGCTGGATTTGGTCTTGGGGGTGGGGGGTTGGAGTCTTCAGTTGACGCTCTCCCCAGACCCTTTTCCATCATGGTTTGGATTGAGGTTTTTCATAAAAGATGCTGCTTTAACTTCTTAGTACTGCTGTATCAGACGGCAAGTGGGTGAGTGTGACCAATAGAAGCTTATTTTCTCATAGTTCAGGATGCTGGAAATCAGGGAACTGGCTTTCGGGGAAGGTGAAAATTCTTGCCTCTGGTGTTCTTCTTGATGTTCCTTGCCAGTCTCTGTGTGACATCTGTCTTTTCCTCCATGTGTGTCCATATTGTCTCTGTGTCTGTGCTGTCCTTCAGAACTGACTGTATTTAGGATGCCATGTACATGGACACAGACTCACTCACATAACCATTTCCAAACTGGATACTATCTCGGGGTCAGGACTTTGATACATATTTGGGACAACACAATTCAGTCCCTTTATCCAAAGTGCCTCCCCACTGGTGGTAAGTGGTTTGTTGTTGTTAAGTGCCTTCGAGTCGGTTGCAACTCATAGTGACCCTGTATAGGGTTTCCAAGGAATAGCGGTGAGCTTGAACTGCCGACCTTGTGGTTCAAACTGACTTTGCAGTCCAGCACAATAATCCAC